ATATACAGGAAAAACAAAGTACTGAAAAGCCTATTGTCTTACAAATAAGTTTAGGAATTGTCTGTGTAGAAGTTCAAACTCAGCTCTGTATATCTGTGATTTACTATTTGAATTTGCAATTATTAAACACAAGTCTAGCATAACTTTCCCTGTTTCAAAGGTTTGTTTACCTCACAACGTAAAATACTTGCCCTCGTTCTTGTGCCTCACCTGCATGGGCCAACCAGACAGTTCCTGCTCCTTCCTATTAGAGGTAGTTACTCCTTTTAAGCATTTGCACAAATGCCTTCATGGCAGGGAGTAGGTGTATGTGTGTAAAGCCACCACTAGAAAGTGTTGAAAGCCTAAGCTAGCAAGATCACATCCAGGGTGACTAATAAGCTTAACATGAGCACGGCTGTGTTCGCTAGCATGGTGCGCTCAAAGAAGTCAATGTTGAGAGAAATGCAGAAATGGTTCCCTAGGCAGTTACTAATTCCTTCACCCCCTCAAGCTCCAATCAGACTGTGAACCATCTTACTGTTAGCTATGGCTTCACAAGGATCCAAGCTGCACTGCAAAAGCAAAAACAAACAAGAGTTCAAAACATTCAACAGACTTTTGCAAAGAGTTGTTCTTTTAATGGAGTAATACATTGTTTTACATGTTTATTTCTTGATGAAAGTACTTACTCTGATTTGGGTTTTAAATCAGATGCCTTTCTGAACACAAACTTGTGAATTGGATACTATGTGTTATTGGGAGATTTCACTCCCCCGATCCAGAGCATATAGTTATATAAATGCTTTTATTATGATGATTTAATCTATGGCCAAAGTAACAAATAAAATACTGTACTGATCATAATTGATCATAATTTTATCATTTGAACTTGTGCTGTATATTCCTTTCTGGTCCTTTTGAGCTGCTATCATCTCTGTGCTCACCTCTGCTTGGATACCTCTGGCCTGCAGCAGGTTGTCTTTAGCCCTAGAATACATGTTTGTATTCACATGTGACTTTCCTTTGACCATGTGGCTCCTCGAAGTGTGCATTTATGAGCCACTTCACACTTCACTCCTGTGTGGGAGGAAGGCTGTGTTAAAAATAGATAGGTTTGGAGGTAGTGAGCAGCCTGCAGAGTGCAGCACTTAAGAACACACTGGTACTTTTTACATTTTACTACATGACCAAATGTTTGCCAAATCCAAAATATCTCTCTGTATTTATTATATAGACAACTGTGATCTAATGTCCAGACAACTGTGATCTAATTTGATTATTTTTTTCCTGAAGAAGAAGAAGAAGAAGCAGTCATGCTGGGTTTGATAAAGGTCCACCAAAAGCAGAATGTACAGAGAATTTCAGTGCTTGTGTTTCTGATTGCATTGTTGTAGTTAGTTGTAGTTGTCAGTTGTAGTTGTCAGTTATTTAAATCATTAAGATTTGTGTTGTGACATTGCTGCCCTTTGTGAGCTTGTTGCTGAATACAGTACAGGTATAATACAGTTTTAGGATTTCTGCAGGTGAATGATTACCTGCTAGTCTGGCCTCTAATGTTTGGACTAACTTACTCACCTGCTCCATGTGTACATCTGACTTTTACCTTCCGTTTTGTGAAACTTCTACACAACTGTCATGTACAAAGTTGTTTTAAATTGTTGCTAATTACAATGAACTGTTCATATCTAGACTGGTATGCCCTGTTCTTTTCAGATTTAGTCTTTTCACATTGATCTTTTGACCTTGCTCTAAGCTGCAGTCGATGATTGCTAAGCCATTGCCGTTCCTTAATCACAACACAGATACCTGTTAATTACCAAATGAGTTTGTCTGTTTCTGCTACTTAGGCGGGGATTTGAGATCGATGGGTCGAGCTCTCAGTGCAGTTTGCCATTTAATGAAACATTGAGGGTTCTGTATGCAGCTGCTGATGAGCTGAATGAGGATCAGCCGCAGTGTGTTAATAGGCAGCCCAATGGACGACACTGTTTTCTGGTAGGTCAGGGATAAAGCCTGAACTTATAAACTCACACAGGGGCTTCTCCCCCTCCCTTTGTCTCTTTCCCTCCTGCACTCCCTCTCTCCCTTTCTCTCTCTCTCTCTCTCTCTCTCTCTCTCTCTCTCTCTCTCTCTCTCTCTCTCTCTCTCTCTCTCTCTCTCTCTCTCTCTCTCTCTCTCTGCCTCACTCCCTCTGTGGTGGTGTCATCATCTCACAGCCCAGTAACTGTATGGTATTACACTCTGATTCTCAGCAGAGTTCACTCAGAGGTAAGCCAGTAGCTTCACCCTCAAAGAGACCTGGCCTTTTCTTGATTACTTTAGTTTATCAAAACTGTTGTTTAAAATGGCATTGCAAATCTGGAGTTATTACACCTAAGATATAAACAACAGAAGACTGCATTTGTGTAATTGTGTATTGCCATTTCACAAACACAGTGATACACCTGAGAATCAAGCTCAATCTCTGGCTGACCTTATATAGACAAACCCACAGAAGCAGATGTGAACATGCAGGTGTCACCACCTGTGAGGAATGTCTGCCTAACACATCCACCAGCAAAGCTCGGACATTTGTACAAAATGACTCTTTTCCCAATGTTAAGCTACTTCATTAGCAATTATGAATAATAATAATACTGTAGACTGGAATGCCTGCCTCCTTCTCAAAAAAGTGTTATTTATGTTAGTGTTATTTATTTATTTCCTATTTTTTTGGCCACAAATAAGTCAGACATGTTTTGATATACATTTATTTGTTAAAGTCCTGAAAATGGTTTCAGATGGCAAAATATGCATCTGTTTTTCCCTGGAGTCTTTCACACATATCTGTGTGTAATTACTGTGGATTTTGACAGATGGAGGGAAAATGTCCTTGTAAGAGAGAAGGGTACATAGCATAATGTGTGAAGTGCAGGCTAAGAGGAGGGAGCCTTTTGTATTATTGGCTGCCCATGCCAGCTGGACCAGACAGATTCTTACAGGTAGAAATGTAAGCAGCAAATGTGGTACAAGTCATTGAAATGCAATGCCCACCATAATTAGGCCATGTTTGTTCACAGTTTTCTGTAAATTTTAAATGCTCTTAACATCGCTCTAAATATGGAAAATGCATGCTAACTTTCGTGAAATGGGCATTAGAGTGCTATTTCTTTCAGTGATAATTGTATCTTGGGGTCATTTTGATTAATGCTTATGTGTTTGAAACACGTTATTTTTGAATACATCAAGACTTAAATATTAGTGTAACTACATTATCACAGTGCCTTTGCCTGCTAGCAAACATGTATAAATGCGGATTACAAGTCTTGAGAAGGCAACAGGTCATGGTTGGTAAGCTGCCCGGGGGGGTCCCACTGATATGGAGTCACTTTTGACAGGCTGTGGAGGAGGCCCTATTGTTATTGGTGTGTCTATGTGTTACCTGCAGGCACTATCACTCACACTACAGTATTATCCTATTATTAGGCTTAGTTGTTTACGCTTATTACTGCTTGTCAGGTAGGCAGAGAATCCGTCTGAAAATGAGCATCTGCTGAAAAATACATGCTTATTTCTTTATCGTACTTAACTACATCAACTTAATTCTTCTAGGCCTGAAATAACATCTTGACAGGACACAACAAACATTTACACAATGTTTTTTAAAGAATGTTTTATTTACAACAAACTGACTTTATTTTGACACTAGTTATTTTCATAAGTTATTAACTGGTAGCTTTCTATACTATTTTATACACTATTAAAATCTTAATTGTCCAAATTGTGCACTGGTCCTGAATTGCAATGAATCTTATACTATCTAATAAATTCAAAGGTTGCAATCAGTCAAGCACTTTCAGTCAAAGAAGCTAAAGTCTCAAATCTAATACAAATCTAATAATTGCTGTTTTATGTTTTGGTCAAATACTTACAGTGGTTAAAAGGGTAAAAAGTGGGAAATACATCTATCAAGAAAATGTAGTTTGGAAGATATACAAAATTTAAATATCTAGTTTAATCGTTGATATGGTAAAAAATATTCTGTATTTATGTGGTTAATTTTGCATTCCATTTACATTTTGTGCAATATTCAAACAACAATTTCTGATTAATTAACATATTATAGTCTGAATATCGCCAATGGTATAATCCACAAACTATACTGATATATACATTTTTGTAAATTTTGCACACACTTAATTTTACACCCAACACAATATAAATTTTGCCATAGAAATACATTAAATATCATATATCACCCCAGTAAAATTGCTTTGCCCTTGTAATTACATTCTAAATTGGCTGTAGTAGCTCATGTACAGTGTATACAGTATGTGCATGCAACGATAAGATATTGTGCATTGAGTATCCACTAATATCTCTGTTTGTAGAGGAAGTGAACAAAATAAAAAATCTCATCATATGGTCTGGCAGATTTTGGGCTCGGGACCAGGGATGACAAATGTGCTCGAGCAATAATTCAATCTGCTCTCATAATTCTCTAACTTTTAGGGACAGACAGAATGAAGATTTTTCCGGCAATTAAGCGGCCAAGTCATCAGCCAATAACTGTGATCTAGTGTTAGTTAAGAGGCTTTTTCTCTCACTTTATCATATTGACAGATTGAGGGGTATAAAGACTGGGTTAGTGGCAGAAAGTTACAGTGAATATGCTAACAAGTGGGTTTGGTCCCTGATCCAAAACGCTGTCACTTGATGAATGTGAAGGCAAAAACTATAGCTATAAAAACTATATTAAAGGTACTCTCACTGGCCTCTTTAATGGGTACATAATAATAGAAAATTATCTAACTGGCCATGGCCATAGTAGTTCCCCAATACATAAATGAACAGAACTGAATATTTTAAAACCTTGTTATGAGTAATTTTGCTATCACCCAATGTGGCAACAAACTGTGATGTGTTACCCAATAAATTGGCCAATTTTTTGAGTGTTCAAGGTATTTACCTATATATAATTTATTTATTGATTTCATATTTTAAGAACATTCTAACATGACCAAATATTTCACTTGCAGAAAAAGTTGTACGTCCTGGTGATGGTTGATCCTGATGCAAAAAGTCGTGCTGATCCAGAATTCGCCTACTGGCGGCACTGGCTGGTCGCGGACATTCAGGTAAAACTCTGCAACATTCTTCTGCTTCATGTTTATTTACAGATAGCCTCATGTGTTTTAGTGATAGGGACCCGAACAGCTTTTGTGTGATTGGATTACAAACTCTTATCATACAAATTTATGGAGCAATGGTTCTTGGGAAATATGCATTTCTCATAATCTCAGGGTCTCACTTGGCATGTCTTGTGTTTATATCTGCACTAGGGCTCGATTGCAAGGCTGAAAAATTATGAATGGCTTTTAAGCCTAAACTTCGTGAAAAAAACGATGCCAAGTTCAAGAAATGTTAATGTTTCCTATCATGTATCTTTTGCTATAAATGCGTGTGACAAAAGTGTGGGAGTAAGTCTTTCTAAATGGCTGTGAAAGTTTGCATAGCCCTGTCAGCATCCGTTTTGCCTGTGCTGTGGAAGGTCCGCACGTGTGAGACGGTTGGAGCGAGTGTCGCAGTCTTCCTCCCATTGCGCGGCCTCCCTCTGCTCCCCCTCCAGAGGACACATCTTGGCACGGCCTCCTCTCTTCATCTGTTCCCCGAGGCAGAGCAGCTCCCCCAATGCTCCACACTTCTCCATATTTTACACCCCCGAAATGGGCACAGCTCCGATCCACGTATTCGTCTTCATATTTCGCTCCCTTTCAACCATTTCGTTTGTCTGTTTTCACATTCTTCCATTCTGACGCCAAAATGTGTGTTGAGTTGTTGATTGCCTGAAATATTTGTTGCTTTGCAGACATTTTCTAATCCTGCAGGAACTGAGGAGATCAACCAGTAGATTAAGTCTGGTGATCTCAAAAAGTTGCATTATGTAGCACCTCTTTTATATTAGATATCTTAAATGTACATCGAGCATGTTCAGAAGTAATGGACACAGTATATGACCATATTGATAATTTAATTGAATTTAAACATATCCTTAAAATATGCAGTTTTGTTAGAATATATTTATTTATTTATAAATGCAAACCAAATGCCAGTAACTCTTAACATAGTTAGGTGTACTATGAATATGAACATGTTCCTCATAAAGTTAGTCAAATAAGCAAAACTTGTATATTACCCAGTTTTTTGGAAATGGTTTTTAAGTCAACCAGTGTAAAGCATTTTACACTCAGAAACAAGAATTTTGATATTGTTTCTGTCTTTATGCCATTGCCTGTCAGGCCCATTGACCAGCTGCAAATAAACAAATGTCTTTCAAGTGCTCAGACAGACCACACTCTCTGCAGCAATTCAATTTCCTGTCACTTGTGTGGGTGTTGACCTGCTCTGCCTGTGCAGCGATTGGCCACAGCTCTGGGAGCTCTTTCTGTTGGGGACTGGTGGTTGGTCAGAAGGGTTAATGAGCCTTTTGAGTGATGCCAACCGCAGTGGGAGGTGTTTAATTGACCACGGTGGCTAGGTGACATCACATGACCTCTCTTTGATTTTTTTATCTGTCACTGTGAATCTATTTCTCACTCTGCTTCTGTCTTTAAACGCCCGAGTCAGATAGTATATTGAATTATAAAAGAGTTAGGTCGTGTACTCTGTGCTTGGGTTTCAAAGTAATGAAAAATTAACTGTTGCTATCGTAAATTCTTCTTCAGATTAGTGCTGTTCATTCAAAACAACTTTTTTGTCTTTTCTTTATAGACATTGATTTTAGAAGGTATTTTGAGACCAAACTAGGAGCACTGCACCTCCTTTGCTATGGAGCACTGTAACATTCAGCAATTCAATTGTTGCTTCTGATGCTATAACATCTTCTTTATTGCTGTATTTAGTTTTATTTAGGGGTCATTGCTGTTAATGTAAACTGGATCAGCAGTTGAATCTTACTGTCAAACAGCACAAGCTCTTGAACTCCATTTTCTTCACATAAATATTAATTAGTTCAAGGTCATGTAGTCCTGCCCCAGTTCATAGACATGCCATAATTAGAACATGCTCTTTATCCACATCCACAAGTCCATGAAGGTAAAGATTTTCTTGAGAGTGAGAGAGTGAGGCCACACCCCTGCTGTATACACACTGTATTAAAAATTTACCCAGCTCTCACAAATGTAGTAATATATAATAAGAGTGCTATAGTTTTCATATATTCCAGTTTAATATACTTTATTAGTTTAATTGTACAATTTTATTATCAAACTCAAGATTAGCATTATACATCAGTTCATAAAAAGCCAGTGGTCAGAGGAGTAGATGGCACAGATTGGCAGCCTTTCTTCCCTCAGTGTACCCCAGGGCAGCTGTGGCTATAGAATTAGATTACCACCACCACTATGGAATGAATGAAAACCTGTAACATTACAGTGCAAGTGCAAGGCATTATTATTGAATACTAGGCTTTATTGAATTAAATGTATGCATTTCCATTTTTAATTATTTTTCTCAATGACCTCTTGAATTCTGGAAACTAATTTCGAGTCTCATCAGCACTCTTCACTTCACATCAATTAGTGGCTGTTACCAAAATAACGATCAACAGATTGTCAAACTAAGTCTGAGAGTTGTATCCAGATTGTGCCTCTCGCTCACTGCTCTTTCTGTCTTCAAATCAATGCAGATGTTTTGCTATGGTCTCGCTGCAATAATTACTGTAACAAGCAAATCATTAGGATCTGAATGGAGTCAGCGTATATAAATACAGCACTAGAGGTTACTTCCACTTATTCTCTCATTATACTTTGGGTTGTTTGTGAGCCAACATGATGCAATTTGAACTTGCAAATCAGTGGTAAACTTTATGCTCTTTCCTTGAACTGAGAAATGCCAAGTTGTTCATTACTGCTGTAAAATCCCATTTAGACAAACTCATAGCCTAAGGTTTTGATGATTTTTCACGTTTGTTTTGATGCTTCTTGACTATGAGTTTGTCTCTGACAGGTGAGCACTGCTTGGCACAGGTAACTTTTTCAGCATAAAGGCTTTCAGTTGAATTTGAGTTAGGAGTTAAATTTAAAGTTATTTCTTTTTATTTGTAGTGATAAAATGCAATTGTTGCCAACTGCAAAAGCTTCTATGATAACTGGTATTGACATAAATATAAGCAGACATGACAATGGAATCAGTATAATTTTGATAGTTTCCTTGGGCAACTTAAATGGGATATGATTTTATCATTTGGGATTATAAACTCTTGAGCTGTAATTTTTCCAAGTCCAGCTGCAGTCTTATATCTGTATTTATATATTTTTTCAGTTTCACATCCTGTGTGCCTTCATATCTCAAGCAAGTTGATGTTTCGAACATCTCAGTGCGGACATGTCGTGGGCTTTTAATATTCATCTTATTCTGATTATAGGGCAAGAGGGATATGAATGTGTAACTGTATGTGTGTGTGTGTGTGTGTGTGTGTGTGTGTGTGTGTGTGTGTGTGTGTGTGTGTGAATGGAGCGTGCACAAAGGCACACAAAGCCTGTGTTGTGCGGCTGCTTTGGACAAATACAAACAGTGAAGTATTGTGACTGTCTCAGGCCAGCTGGCTTTGTGTCTGTGTGTTGTGTGGCCTGCGGAGATCGTCTGCTCCACACCTCTACATGTCCGATCTGCAAACTCCCAGGCGTGGAACTCTCTTAGTGCGGCTCTTCACAAGTACGCTGCTCAAAATGGGTTTACAATAATAAAATACAATACAGTTATAAAAACACTGCATTATTTAAATAAGCACCAAAGTCTGAAGAATTGCTATGAAAAATACAGGTGTTTTTCTCAGCTTTTGTTTGTGTAATAAAAGAGAAAAATCTCAACTTAACTAAAACCTTTCCCAAAACATTGAGTTTGTCTTGCAGTGAGTCAAAGATCTGTAAATTCATGGAAATGACCAGTATGGAAAGAATTAACACTCTTTATTGATCCAGTTCAATAATATAATAGTTTGTCCTTACCAAATGATTGACCTTCTAAAATACTGTGACTGAAAATGGGTGCAGATCAATCAAATATTCACATTTATTCTTGTGGAAGTACAGCTGAATGTGGCAACTTTGACAAAAACATATCTGCTCCTAAACTGAGCTAAATATGCCATTTGTCTTTGTCTTCTCAATGTTGAGTTAAGCAGGAAGAGTTTCAGTCAGATATCATTATTGCAGAGAAGAGAAAGTAATGAGTGTTTAAAATGGTATCTGTAACCTCTGCGTTAGCCTTTGAGTTTGTTTAGCTAAATACATATCCAAATAAATATACTTAATTGCATTGTTCTTTAGCCTGTAATTATCCCTACTGTGGCATGTTATGATTTAAGCGTTTATTTTTTGACAGACAGCTGCCCCCATATGGAAGCCAAAAACAATCTCCCAAAGGCCAGGCGATCCATAGCTAGTTTCATTGCTAGAACAAAGAAGCCTTGGTATTATTCATAATTAAACTCTTATTGTGTAGTCGCAGGCTGAATATTTCCATTCTTCTGCCTGTCTTTCCCCTCTCGTACTTTGCACCTCGCGCCGGGAACATCTGGCTGGCGTCAGAGTGGAGCCTGGCTGTGCAGATTGGAGCAGGTAGAGAGCACATTGTCGCCCGGCTAATGATGAGAGTGTCTGCCCTCTCTCTTGGAGGAGACGCAAGCTGCTGCTTCACTCCACTCATACGCCCAAGGAAACAGATTTCCAAACATATGCACTGTGTTTTTAATCCAGTTGAGCACTTCATTTTCCAGAAAACACAAATAACCTTACGGGACATCCATATCTTACGACAAGGGGGTGGGCGCAAAAGGAGTTGAACATTTTTCCTCTTTTTTTAAATTTGATTTTTTTTTTAACTCCTTCCAAAGTTGCTAAACATGCCTGTAACCCAGGTTAACAGTTTACTTGTTTATGGTTACACAAAGTTTTACACACAAGGTGCTTGTGGCGCTCAGTTGTATGAAGAAACTTTGTGTAATAGAAACTTAGTGAGGCGCACCTGTTTGCTATATTGTTTAAGCTTACACTATCTAGAGAAACTCATATTAAACTACTTTATGAATGAGTAATTGCAAAGCTTGGGCAATTCATAGAGTGTGATTCATAAATAA